CCTGACCTTATCGTTCCTAAAATCTTAATAATCCTTAAAAACTATTCCACTGTTCTAATTTATTTAGTCACTTTCTACGGGATGGGATGTAGATCCCTAAATTTTAGACACTCCTGTTATGTTTGGAACTGATTTACTTCAACGTTAGTCTACAAATCATAGGGATTAATTCTACTGAAATGATTTTCAGAATACATTGATCAACTCTATCCAGAGCTTCTTTTTTCGCTCTCGATTTGACTTGTAATGAGAGGAATTAATTTTTGGGGGTTGGGTTGGGTGCGGGGTTCAGTAAGACATTTTCAAGTTAAATCATGAACTGACATTATTTAGAGAACATTTGAAAACCAATCACAACTGAACAGTTGTTTGGAACCCATGACCCCATCAAGGATCGAATTCAAGACATCCAGACTAAGAGGAGAACTTACTAAGTGCGCAGTCAATTGGGATAGAGTCTGATGTCCAATGAATGTAACTTATTCCCATTTGCAATATACAGCGCCACCATCATAAACGAGTATTGGTCTTTACACTCGATTTAGTCACCTCAACTTCACATTAGAAACTCCAGGCAACTTTATCCTGTAGTAGTAGTGAGTCACTAATGTGTATTTGATTTGAGGCCATATTCTTATTTTATGCATTAAATTGTATTTTATTTTCTGCTAATATATTTTTTTTCGTATTTTGAACATGCCACTTATTACTGTAGTGTTTTTTTTCCTTACTATTCAAAATAGTCTTTCTCACTACTTGTGTATGTGCGTATGTGTGACCTTAAAATCACAAATCATAACGTTGTTTTTCGTTACCTCTTCTAATAAAAATCACTTAGTTGAAAAGTGAAGAAGTTGAAGAATGTGTATTCTTCAATTATTATTATTATTATTAAATGATTATGATAATAATAATAATAATAGTAATAATGGGTGTTGTCTTTATTATCATATCACATCACATCACACATCACAACACTCGTCTTCCTTTTTTTGTCTTGCTTCTCTAACAGTTCATACAAATATACACCTTATTACTCATCAATTTGTCTTCACATGTTTTCAATACTCTTCCGTTGGTTTGTTTTCCATACGTGTTACAACATGTTTATATATATATATATATGTATAGAGTGTATTATATCCACTGTCTATTACACAAATATCTATCTCTTTAAACACACATATATACTTGCACACAGACAAACAGGGATACATTTATAGATGTACATTTCGCCTTTTTGTCACCATTTCAGTTAGATTATGAGAATATTGTTGTCTAGATGGATGAATACATTTCATCAAATAAAATAAATGTATCGGATCACATTAATAATAATAACTTTTTATGACAGTAATAGTAGTATGGTAGGCATGTTTCATTTTCCACTATTTCCCAATTGAATGCATGTAGTTTCTATGACGTTATTAATGAAACAGGAAAAATAATAATAATAATAATAATACATTAACTCCTTTTTATCCCATCTTAACTATTTTTGCTTTATCTTATAATGAGAGTAAAATAGATACTACCCGACTTGACTTCATTTCACTTGACTTGACTGTTTCTCTGTTTTGACGCGGTATCATTTAAGGGAAGAAAAAAAAGACTGTCTTATCCTCCTCCTCCTGAATTCATGTGTTAAAACATTCCCCCCCCCTTCTGTCTTTAAGATATGCCGTTGTTATCAGTTTGACTAAGTGATGAAAATGGTCACTTTCTGTTGTGTGTTTTTGTTGTTGTATGTTTGCCTGCTTGCTAACTGGCTGGCTAGCTGGCTAGTTTTCTTTCGCCCTCTTTTATATTTGTCTCTGTCTTTCACAATATTTCAGAGATAAGTACATTTATTAATTTAAAAAAGAAGTATGTTGTCAGAAAAAACAGAGAGTAAATTTAGTTGGAAATTTGTAAATAGAAAAAAAAGTTATTCAATTGAGCACCTTGAAGGCCAAAGTGGATATGAGTATTATGGGAACAGCAGTTGGCTGTAGGTCAAGCAGTCCTTACTGACGCTAAGTCTAAAGCCTGCTAAAGTCTAAGTTGTTTTGTTAGTGAACAGTGTGTGAGTCGGTGGCACAGTGGTCATGTGCACGCTCGCCGACCATGCACATCTGATAACAATGATCAGCCTGCTAAATTCGGGCTACCGATATCACATGCTGAAAATTCCATACTTGTACCAAAATAATGTGTGGAATCAAGCTATAATAAAATAAAAATAAATATATATATAATCACCAGGAGAGGATTTCTCACTACTGTTCTCTTTGGGCTATACAGACAAGTGTAAATTGTTTTGTTATTGACATCAAGGTGTTAAGACTGACGGTGACATGATGGCATTTTCCATCACTTATCAATTACTATTATTCAACTACTTATTTACCTCTCAGATTTATATATTTAACAACTGCATTGCTATGTCGTATATGTTTATCATAAGATGCACTGTTTTGTGTAAGTTTTGCAGTTATAAATATGGTACACTGCTGTGTAAGATTCAACTTTGATCTGTTTACGTATTGTTCATTTCTGAATGCTGAATAATCTGAACCAAATACGACCTAGTGATTTTTTTTTCCTTCACGCTCCCCAGTGGAACATAGGGCTTCAAGCTAGTGGCTTGAAGTTTCTGTAGCAGTGTTTATTTTACAGTATGAGGTCGCTTAGCTTCATGTCCAACCTTTCCTCTTCACCAGCATTATTTCTGACTTAGCGAGGTAAAGGAGTGCGTTGGTCCATCGAGGGAGAGGGCTCTCGACTGGTTGCGCCACAGGATGATCCTGCATGCCGGTCTCGTCTTACAAGAGGCAGGGATGGGTGTGTTTGGTTCTCCTGAAAACCAATACCCAGTCAATGGGTGTATCACTGTGTGACCTAGTGAATAAACATCAAATATTTCTTTATGATATTTTTTTTGATCAAGTCAAGCAGATCAGCTTTAGCTTCAAGACTGATCATTTAGATCGTATAACTAAGATGTTTACAGCATACTACTGGAGATCTAAAAAAAACTTCTGATAACTTTATTAATCTCTTCTAAAGTACTATAGTGTATGATTGTATTGCATAATTGTCTTGAGTATAATTCCTGTCTATATTCTAATATTCCAAGTATTTTAGAAAATAATGATTTTTTAAACCCACTCAAATTGCATGTAGAATTTCGCTAGTTGTTAGGATTAGTATTCAAAGCTTTATTTATGGAGGTATGCATTTTCTGCATGGCGAGCATTCTTTTTTTATTCTTTTATTGTGGTTTCAATAAAACTAACTGACTCACACTGTCTCGTCATCAAATGCATATCTTATACAAATGACTTAATATAACGATAATAAATAATTTGATTTTGAATTTAGATTTTACCACCCCCCAAAAATGAGTTAGAGAACCATTGAAAATCAGGGAATACTTGAATATTTGTTTCTTCCTAGTTTGGGACTCTTCAATAAACACTCATCGATGACACTGAATGGTAGTCGAACTTATAGATTCCAATCTGCTGGTTGAATGATCAATGGACTCGTATAAGTAGTTTGACAGTTGTGCATTCAATCCTTAACCTCTCCTTGTTCACCTACCAGTCCTACGCTTGGAAAAAAAGAGAATGTTGGGGTGAGGCTAGCCACTCTATCCCGGAAAATCAACTCAATCTCTACAGAAACTTAAAAAAAACACAACGAGAATACAAGAAAAGCACTTATTCTTCGCTAGAATCGGGGAGACGGAATGATACAGGCTGATGAAAGTCTTCGGGAACCTAGTCAGTTGATGTGTCCTGCCTTACACTTTTCTCATCACATAAAATGTGAGCCAAATAAGGTACTGTCGAGTTTTTAGGCATGGGGGCATGGAATGTTTGCAGAATTTGATGCCTAGTGGAGTCGTGGATGTGTGGTATGAAGAGTCCTAGACTGGGACGAAACAATCGTTTAGTAAACCTTGGTTTTCTGTGATTCTTTAGTTGATATCGGTTCTTGGCAAAATCTTCCTTGTAGTCAGTCATCTCCTTACTATCCAACTCTTAGAAACAATTTTTTTATTATTTTAGTGTCTTGATGATATTCAGAAATGTAACTTAGTACATATTTCTTTCCACTTGAATACTGATCAGAAGTGATGAGTGCATTTATGAATCTGATGAAAAGTAAGGCTGAACATTACTGAAACAACACCAAAAATATACTTATTTATGTACTTATATGCTGTAAATATATGACGAAGCTTTTGTATACTTTGATTGGACACTAGTAACTAGTACGATGTGTCTAGTCCTTTCTTCGGTGCAGACTGAATTCTACTAGTCAGGTTTGCAATGTGGCCACCATTCTAGGTCCTACAGGAGGTCAACTGCTAGTCCGAATAGTGGCAGCACTGGGTGACGTGGGTTCGAATCTCAGAGGAATAGGACATGAGTTCCTTGAAGGTTTCAGATACGCCTTACTGACTGGTGAGTGCCAACTAGCACGAAACCTAGGTCCAAGGATTCTTGTAGCCGATTGCCTCCAACCATCTAATATCATTGAAGCTTTTGTTTGTTGAAGTAGAAATCTTGATTACAACAAGATTCCATGCAATAATCTATCAAACTTGAATTCTATAACACTTTGAGTATACTATACATGGCTGATAGAATTCAGTCTGCACCGAAGATAGGACTAGACACATTACACAAGTTACTGACTAGTGTTCAATCAAAAATATCCAATACAGTCCTACAGGAGGTCAGTCGCGAGCCTGAATAGCTCAGTGGTAACGTCTCTGACTGCAGCTCTGGGTAATGCGGGTTCGAATCTCAGAAGGGACATCAGTTCCTTCAAGGTTGCAGATACGCCTTGCTGATGAGTGCCAACTAGCACGAAACCTAGGGCCAAGGCTTCCTACCGATTGCCTCTAGTATACTACTCAGTGTATATCATTACTACGTGACAATGAAATGAACCTGTCTGATAAACACTATATTGTGTGTGTGTTTTTTCTTCCTTTCTTATTTCAGCTTTATCTCATTCTATCAATTCATTGCAAAATTCATCATTGAATAATTCTATATTTCCTAATGAAATAAATGACATAGATAATAGTCGGATTGTATTACAACCACCTATGCCAGATGTTGTACCACGATTAGGATTACATATGTTGTATACTACACTTGGATCCAATGTCAATTCATCGGTGTATCATCCTCCTCCTCAGCATCATTTAACAACTTCGCAGCCACGGTGTTCATCTGTTCCACTTGTACGAACATCATTAAATATGAATCATAATTATCAACAGTATGGTTATCATAATAATCATCACTACAACCAACATCATCATCAGCAGCCGCAATCGCAGCAACAGCAACACCATCAACATTCTTATCATAGTTCTAATCTGTATAATCTTCATCCAAGTGGAGTACAAAATCCTTCTTTTTCACAATCATTATATGATACTGGATATCCGTATGAAATAAATGAATTGTATGCAACAGTGAATAGTAGTAGTAATAGGATACATTTAACTTTATTAGCAAGACGTTTAGCTAGTGTTGGCGATGAATTAATGGCAAGTCAGTCATGCATGAATCGATCAAACTATACTCTGGTAAGTTGTGTGGTAGTTACATATTTCAGTATATATATAATATTTTATGAGTAAATAATAATAAGTATTGTTTTATTGCATGGAGGATTTCATCATGAACTGACATCAGTTAGAGAACCAATGGAAAACCTAGGAGTACTGGACAGCTGTTTCGTCCTAATGTGGGACTCTTCATCAGCACGCCCCACCGCAGGGGTTCGAACCCAGGACCTTCTGGTTACAGGGCGAGCTAGCTCGTAGACCATTGAGCCACTGTCACCTGACTCGATCCAATGGTCCTTGAATTCTAACTTCTGCCAATTCACGACATAGAGTGACCATTTCGCAATGTCTTCTTTGATGAGTTTCTACCTCATCTTCAGCTCATGATGAAATCCTCCATGCAATCAAACAAAATCAAATACAAAACTAATACTTGAATATTATTGTTTTATTTGAAATAATTGTTTGGATTAAATTATGAAATATAATTTTATAAAATATTAGTATTTAAATCGTTTGCAGGAGGTTAATTACTCTGAAGACATTCCTTACTGGTTTAAGTCATTTGATATTTCCTGAAATCCTCTGTCTGTGTTGAAGTATCGGCTCTTAGTAATGACGCTGTGACAATGTCTGAAGGATATCAATCAGTGATGTTATTTGCTTGATGGTAGTTAGCAGTGAAGTGCACAACACGTGTTTCGTTCTAATTAAGATTCATCATCTGAATGTACTTGTATTCCTAGTGAATGATCCCGTGACCTAATGAATGATGCTATAGCATTAGAAATGATAAGTAGTGGGTTGAAGTTCTCAGTAGGAAAATCATCAATCATTGGGAATTCAGGTTCACCCATCTAGTGAATCCTGTACAGGACAGCATAAACATCTTGGATTCCACTTCTAGCTGATATCAGCTAGGTGATGTCTTGAAGAGAGAATCAGTGAAAATTAGAAAAGGAAACCCTAAACATTTGTTACTTTAAAAAAATGGCAGAAACAGAGACTAACGTCCAACTTTGAACATTAAAACACATTCCTCCGAACTGTCTTGTTTCGAAGTAGTACACAAAATGAAGTGAACAGAAATACCGTCTTGTTCTAGTGGAGATATGACTGATTTGCTTCACTAAAATAATTTATGTAACACTTTATTCAAGTGTTGGTTTGTAGGGATTTGACTGATTGGTTACAGCATTTCATCATGAGTTGACATCAGTTAGAGAATTATTGGAAAACGTAAAGAGAGTACTGGAGAACTGTTTCTTCCTAGTTTGAGACTCCTCATCAGTACGCATCCACCACCAGAGTTCGAACCCAGGACATTCTGGTTACAAGGCGAGCTAGCTCGTAGACCATAAGGCCAGCCCATGGATCTTAACTTCTGCCAATTCACGACCTAGCGCGATCGCTAGCCAGTGTCTTCGGCGAGTATTTGTCCTCACACCCTATCTGCTGCACCCTACTGGTCACGAATTCCCACTAGAATCCAGGTAACTACCTACCTGAATAGGGCCAGTCGCTGGTGAGCATCTCATTGATATTTACTTTCCACTGATTCACTTTCAACGTCAGTCTAATTTTTCCAACTATTTCATGAGATTTAACTCGTTCATTAAGTTATGAATACAGACAGGTATCCATACATAATATTAGACAGCAATCATGGTGTCTAATCAAATACATTAACTTTGAAACTACGGATTATTAATTTTTATACATTGTATGATGGTTCAAAACCTTGGCGTGCAGGCTTTCCAACAGGTTGTTTTAAACTTTCATCACGACCTGCCCACTTCTCTGTCTCAATACTGAAGATCAGATGGCTGATCAGAATGAATAAGCAACTAGGAACACTGGCGACAAATCAAACAGGATCCCATCACCCAACAAATATGCCGGAGGAAATGAAGACGGGTTAAACATAAACTGAAGAAACATCTAGTTGACATCATATGTTTGACTAGTCCTCAACTGGAAACTGAATGGAAAACGTCTATTTGGGCGTAGGTATAGAAGTGATGTGGAAGAGATCTTGTGAAGAAGAGATGAAAGCTTATGGGAAATCTTGGAGACAACTACAAGAGACTGCAGAAGACAGAATGAAATGGAGATGTGCTGCTGCAGTCCTATGTTCCATTAGGGACTTAATTAAGTAGTAGTAATAATATCTCGGGCTTGCGTAGGTAAAGCGGGATTCGAACCCACTGCTTATCAAATGTGATAGTCTACTGCTAAAGCCAATGAACCATACTCTAACTGTGTGACACTACACTGTTTGAGCAAAGAATCTATTTAATGTTGCTTGACTTTCTTTTCCTCCATATACACTATTTATTTCGTCCTAGGCACTACTTAATACACGAGATTACAGTGGTCATCATAACCACACTCTGAAGTCAATTATGGTGTGTAAGCCATTTTTCTATTCACTCATACTATATTTTTTTTATCCCACTTGCTTTCAATCACAAAAGGAAACATATGCAGATACTTATAGGTAAAAATCAATAATCTTTTTTTTTCTGACTATGACTCACACATCAACTAACTAAAACCACTTTGTTGATTGGTTGGTTGGTTGGTTGGTTACTTTGACAGTCAACAATATATACTGTACATTCATAGTCCATTGAATTAATAATAATCATCTGTAGCTGTATCCACACACACACACACATACATAAATCTAAGTTTGGTACATGCGTATACTTACACACACACACACACACAATAAATTTTGTTTAAAAACAATAACAAAGTATTGTATCACGTGACAAAGTTAATATCACCTTGTGAATAGAAATTCAACTATGGACAAATCAAGTGCAGTTTAGTTATTATTAGCGTCATCATTATTTTTTTCAAAAAACAACAACAACGAACCATTGTTTCAGTGACATTATATGAAGTAGTTTAAATTATTGTTATTATGATTATGAGTTTTTGTAAGTATTAAAACGAATTTCAATAGAGATTTCGTCACGAACCAACGACAACAACAACAACTGGACTGCTCCCTCGTTCTGGACTCGAACTCTGCAGCTGTGCACACCCACAATCCTACTAGGGGGTAAACCCGATTCCTATGAGACCAAAGCTCATTGACCATTCAGCCACTTGTAAATTCCATGATATGGCGCCACCTCCAACCAATGCCTTCAGTGAGCATCCATTTCACCTTGATTATGGTGTGGACCCAACTGGCCACTAACTTCTCAGTACACCTATAGGACATTCATCCAGTAGCTATCAATAAGCTTGCCATTGATACTTAGATTGGCGAAGTTAAACTATGAAGATCTGTGGAAATGTGAACACATTACTGACCTTGAGCTGACCAATCGGAGAAACCAGGGGTTTCTACTCATAAATAACGTTTATTTACAAGAGAAATATAGAGAATAATGACAAAACACATTAAACAGGATATTTTTCTTTGATATGATTTAAAAATATCTCCCAATTATAATTAGGAGTATCCGTTTTAGGGTTAAACCACTAACTGTACATATATCCACCGGTGTTTACTGAAGATGAGCTCGTCTTCTGACCTACTTATCGCCCTTTTCCTGTTTTTCAGTCTTCCCATAAAACTTTCGAATGAATTAGTACCGGTTCTAGTAAGGGGACCGATAGCTTCTTATTAGAAAAATGCAGATGGTAAAAATAAAGCACCCTAGTCCCAATCCCATTTGCTAACCTAACCCTAAACGCAACCCTAACGAGCAATCACCACATTATCCTTCATACTGGCGCTATAATAATGGTAGGTCCCGTTATCTACCGACTAGTATACGTTCAAGATCATTGATGGGTTCGCACTGCTGGACCGCTATACTTTAACTTGGCGTTTAGATTATGGGATCATGACGAAATCTGTACTGAAATTAATTATTGTATTGTTTTGATTGCACTTTAAACAAGTTGTTCCTTTTTAAAGGTGATGGATGACTGATGAAAACACAAACGAACAAACTATAAGCACTGGATGCCTAATTGTTTTGCCTTAATTTGAGACTCTTCAACGATGTGATTAATATAAGATAGAAACTGTGAGGGCTGAAGTCCAGATACTTCAGGTTCTTAGTTGGGTGCATTATCATTTAGATACTGAGTTCTTTGGGGATGTCAGTCATTGGATTAACCACTCGACTTTCAACTAACAGGTCTAGGGTTCGAATCTTGTTCCATCTAATTCAGCCTAGGTAACTGTTGGGTAGTATTATAAGCCGTGAAGGTGTAAAAAAAGTTCTATCTAACTGACTAACTAACACCATATTTTATTAAGTTTTTAATTATTCTCTCTATACTGTCTACTTGAACGAAAGTAATTGCTTTGGTAAGTTTAAAGCGGTTTGTGTCTTGTAGGAAAATAATAAGGCTATCTATAAAATGTGAAAATATGCTCTGAAAAGTTTGACTATCCAGTCAAATATTTCAGTGGAATACTTGTTTCCCCCACTCTTTTGTATTCTGACTGGAACATAATAGGGCCTCAAGCTTGAGCTTTGATATTTCAGTGGTGATGTTGTTCTTTCACAGAGTGGAGCTACTGGCCTCACACTCAATTTTCCATCTTTTTTCAGGCTTAATATACCAGCTTGTAAACTAAAAAGGGTTTACTTAGTGCATCGGCGGAGAATCGAACTTCGACCTCCTGCGTAACTGACGAGCATTCTACGCATATATGACCAAATTTAGTCTTCAGGCTTTGAAGTCTCATTAGCGATGGTGTTGTTTTTACGGCTGTGGTCGCTAACTTCACTCTCAGCCTGCCCTCTTTACTGTGTTAATAGCCGGGTAAGAGAGGTTTTAGGAGTGTATCGGACGGGTATTAAACCAGGATCACGTGTGTGTTTGGCCACGTTTTTAACAATATATTAGTATTCACTCTTTACGGCACTGTTGAATTATTCAGACATCCTCTGTGAAGGTCGTTAGCATGAGATGAGATATTGTCAAGGAACTTAGCCCTAAGTTCCTATTGTAACTAAGGCGATTTGAACCGATAATGACTTAGTATTTGTTTCAACTTTAAATCCAAAACACCAGTATTCCTTGAACGAATTTTTATTGTTTGGCAATTAAAGCAAGACAAAATACAAAGTCTACAAACAAATGTTTAGTACAAATGAAGTTATAAAGTACTTTTATTCGTATTCCTTCCGCCTTTCTCCAACTTGCAAGCGATCGAACCATTCGCCCCTTCGAGTTGCCCACCAATGGCTGCCAGCTCCACTAAACAAACGTTCAATGTTCACGTCCATTGACAGATATTATTGATTCACAGTCTTACTAATGAAGTCAACTGGTTCTGACTATTGATCTCATAAATTAAGTTATCTAGTTGTACGCTACACGTATCCACTTAGCTTAGATAATATAATCCTTCTGTGAATAGATTCGTTTTGCTTCTTCGCTGTATATATTCAAAATGTTATTGATTATAACTTCCAAGTATAAATAATAATTAGATCATAATTTGGAAGCATTTTACTGGCAATCTCACTTTACATATTCAGAACCTTACATGCCAAACTTAGACAGTATCTTAGCACATAAACGTTTTGTTACAATTTTGTTTGCTTTTTACATTCCCATTTTTAAGGAATAAGCGTTGTCCTATGAACAGATGATACTGTCATCATACAATCATACAGTGTACTTGTAACTTCAAGTTTGTGGACTGGAGAATAAGAAGGAAAATCATGTATGATTTTATTAATTATATAACAACAATCGTCTAACTGACTGAGTTTCAATATAAAATTTTGCTTAGAAGTGCAGAAGTTCATTAGTCTCCAGCCATCGATTCTTAGTATCCCAAGGATCCTAACCAGGTGGTATACACCTCTTTACATGGCTAAAACCAGCAGTCAGAGACTTCATGGATTGATACCAGGTTGTCGCTTGACCACCTCTAACTCTTTTCCAACCTAATTATATGTCAGCTAACATAACTCGTCGAAGAAAGCGGTGACTCGATGAGCGTAAGACGTGTCCTTGCTTCACAACCTAATAGGCTGATTTCCCTTCCGTTTAATCTATCATTGATATGACAAAAATTAGCGTCGTTTCAGTACACGAAAAGAATCTGTTCGATCTGTGGTAGATATCGCATTTTATTTGTACTAATTAAATGAATAATTAACTTTGTATTGAGTTGAGCCTTTTGATTTTATATAGCGCGCATTGGTAAATAGCAATGTTTGCGCATTAAGTAGATTTATGTGTACACCATAAAGATCAGATCGAACATTCCTTAAATTATAGGATTTGTCTGACTAGTAGGGTCCATTATGTCAAAGGGAAGTAGATGCTCACCTGACGTATTGGTGAAGGCAGCGCTATTCCACAAGTTGATTAAGTTAAAATTGACGGGTGATTGAATTCCTGCCCAAGTGTCTGAATAGTCAACGAGCTTGGTCTTGTAATCTGATGGTCATGGCTGTGTACTCCTAAAATAGGACGAATTAGCTGTCGAGAGCTCCCTGACTTCCAGAGATCTCTCTAAGTGATATTGCCTACTGACGCAAATTTCAAAATTGAAATATCATTTAAATCTCAATGCCATAATGATGATGGCACGAAATTTAAGAAAATAAAACTCAAATTAACCTAATCAAACAACAGAAACAATGACTGATGGCCTCATAGAAGTTCTAACCCTGTGGCCTAGTGGATGATGCTGTTACGTTTGAAAGGGTGGGTGCAGGGTTGTAGTCCCACTGAGAAAACCATCACTCAGGTACACCGAGTGACGAGTCTCGGATGGGACGAAATGTCCATCTTGGATTCCACTCCTAGTTCCAGTCAACTTAAATAACATCATGTTCACTTTCAGATATCACTGAAGCACTCGTACTAGGATCCGACAAGTCAACGGGGACCAATGTGATTGACCAACAGGCGATGCAAATAAAACTCAGGAGGCCCACTTAAAACTTGAGCTACCAAAAACTTCCATCCCTTTAATGCATATATTTTCTCTGGTTCGGCTTTTTTAATCGATTAAGATATGACCACTAATGGTATTATCTACTCTTGTGTGTATTTAAAATGTTTACAAGCTACTGATTTGCAAGTTCCTAATAAACTTGAGGAAAAGCCTGATTGTGGGTGGCAACGTGTTCCAATACATGAGATAAGTATTCTTGAGTTATGTACTTGGGTCTCAAAATGTACTTATGAATGTGCTTCTTATAACTGGCTTTCAACTGAATTGATATCATAGATTTCTTGAAGGCGACAAAGCAGATAGATTTATGATAATGGAATGGTTTGTGCCTCAGGTCAGAGAGAGCATTGTGTCACAGGAAGGATATGCTGTGAATTAATAATTTACTTGAAGATATTTTATGGAGGGAAAATATCATGCAATAAACTCCTCTGAAAATTCTGTACACTATATAAGTACTGTTCAGAATAAAGATGTTATCGTTATTACTATTATTAGTATATTTATTTTATATTAGATTTTATGGTCAGCAATGTTTTATTCCCCGGAAAGGAAGAATTTTACTTTTTCTTTCTATTTTAGCCAAATGGTTTATTATTTAATGGTATACGAAGAGCAAGAACTGGTCTACTCTTATTTTGGAGATTCTCTTCTCACATAGTAACATTGTTCACAATCTCAATAGAATATATGCTAAGATCTATACAACTGATCAGTCAATCATCATCATTACCTGTTGGTGGTAACAACGATTCGCTGTCAACGAGCTCAAATCAAAATATCTATTCATCAAGAAGAAGAACAGCCACATACAGTGGTTGTAGTGTAACTGCTTATCCTCCTCGACATAGTCTTCATACATCATCATATGACTATCACCGACCAAGTGTTGATATCACTGTATCGCCTAGCCTAACAGAAGGTGATCTACACAGAGTTTCAGAGGCTTGTCAAACACGATTCCAGTCTTCGACATTAGCAGCAGCAGCAGCAACACCATCGCCATCATTGTATTATGCTTACCCATATCAGCATAATTGTTGTCGCCATCTACATCAATCACCAACAACATCTCAGCCTATTCAATATTGTGAAGGAAATTCTTGTTTAGAGTCAAGACCATCATCGATGAATAATCAGTGTGAAGATACGGAAATGACTTTTGAGGACAGTAGTAGTAGTGGTAGTGGTAGTAGCGGTAGTGGTAGTACTAGTAGCCGTCATAACTAGATATATTCTCTATTTGAATTTTGACAATTTCAAACTAAGCGCTACTGAAAAGAATTCATATTTTGAAACAGTAAAACACAACAAAACAAAACAGTGAACTGTAACCACTTCTTTTTTTCTCTCTCTGTCTCAATAAAACAATAAAGATTTTTTTGATTACTCTTCTACTGTGTGTAATGTATGTTTATTATTCATAATAATTGGTATATAGGTCAAAGCAAAAGATATATTCTGATACAAACAAATTTAGATTTATTCAGTCTCTACAACCTTACTCTCCGCCCCACACTTGTCTCTTTCTCCCTCTCTCTCTCTCTGTCTCCACGTACGTATCTTTTCTAGATTGCTGTTGAAAATACTTTTAGGTAAATAAGAACATTTACAGTTAGATGAAAAACAGAAGGGAAAAAGATAAAATATTCTTATTTTTTACGTATGATAATACCTGACTACTTTATTTAAGTCTATTTATTAGGGAGGATGATATTTAAGCTGGATTTTTATTGGTTAAAAAATTTTTTGACTTTAATGTGGCCTCATTTGATGATTGGTTAGATGTGTATTATACTACTGACTGACTGGTTATGCGATAATCTGATTGGTTGATGCCTTCATATATATAACATCGATGTATGCTCTGCACTTTTCTGGATTGATCATTCTGATAGTCGTGTACTTTTTTTCTCTTGTTCTCCCTCTCTTCTACTCTGTCTTGTCGCCTTAAAATTTTGAGTACTGAAGTAGTTCTTAACCAACTTGGTGAATTTACTAATAACCGGTTTTTTTTGCGTGTTTGGTTAGTTTAAATTTATTAATAAATTTATTCTCTGCTCATTTCTGCTATTCCTACAACAGCAGCAACAGTAACAACATATTTCTCTACTAATTCTCATAAATTATTAAAAACAATGAAACATTTCGCATTTGTTTTTATCGTTGTTGTTGCGTATTTCCATCCACTGACGACACATACCTATAAAGTCAGTTGTCATATGCGTGTATGTGTGTATTGTAGGACCAAATCTATTGTTGTTGATTTTGCTATAAGAGAGACAGAGTTACTATTAATTACCGCCAGTAATACACTCTATAATACTGTTAGGTTTAAAGAATAAAAAAAGGCCATCTTTCGGATTCATCTTAACTCAATATGTAGGTTGTTTTTTTGTTGTTTTTTTAATAAAAAAATTTGACTACCGATTAATACTACTATATTTTCTTGTTATATAATCATTGTTGTTATTATTACACTCCCCACCCTTTTATTTTCTATCAATTTTCAATAAGCATATATATTTTTTATTATTATATTAGGGATATACATGTATATGTGTATGTATTGAGTTGATTTCTTTCGTGTTTTCGTCTCCTTTGATATAAAGAGAGCGAAAGAGAGCAAATAGACAAGCAAGCAAATCTTTATTGATTATTTTAAAACAAAACAACACAGTCATTTTCTCTGTCTTATTCTTCTTTTGTATATTATTATTATTATCACTACTACTACTATTACATTATATTATTATTATTATTGAATAAATATATTTGTATACATTGAAGAAAGTGTCATTATTATTGTTGCTACTCTTTTTCTATTATCACTGGTGGATGGGAGAGTGTTTTTGTGTGTGTGTGTGTGCTGGTGTTATTCGTAACGATACTACTAGGTACGGTGAAAATTCTCAATTGATATACATTGTATATTGGCGTTTGAAACTATGGGCACTGGGTTCGAGCTTCGGTGGGAACATCGTCACTCACTGCGGAACGCAGGTACATCCAGATGATGAGTCCCATATAGGACAGCGGAAATGCGCATCCTGGATTCCACTGCTAGTCACCATCCATCAATAAACTTCTAATTACATGCCCAGACTTCGTCGAAGCATCTGCAAAAGAAGCCGATATATCAACCTGAGACCTAGCACTTCGATCCGATCAATCGACGGGAAAATCTAAAACTGAATTAAATATATTGGTAGTGGTTCGATGGCAGAACGCTCACCAGCTACACACACACACGTGGTCTGGGATTCGATTCCCAGCTGACTCACTCTTAAACCTCTCCGATTATACTAGCTGATATTAAGTCTGGGAAAGAGGGAAAGCTGAGGGTGAGGAGAGCAAATTCACCCAGTAAAAACAACATCATAGCTAGTGATAGTTCAAGACTTCAAGCCTGAAGCTGTATATTTCAATCAGAAAGCAAAGAAATGTCAAAATTGAAATACATGGTAGAATTAAATTCGAAATTTGAAAATTTTAAATAGTTAGAGATGGAGTTTCATCATAGTTTCTTTTTTGGAAATCGAAATTACTCAAATCACATGAATCCAAACATAAATGCATAATGCTATCTACTACGTGGTTGGATGCCACTGACATGAACAAGTAGTGCACGCTAGGCAGATTGAAATGATGAAAAAGAACATCTGATGCTTGTTTCCGTCGTTCGGGGCCGAGCTCACCAACAGTGTGCCCTGTTCTGAATCAGCTCAGAGAGCCAAATGAATTCAGAGCACCTGAATCTTGGTCTAGATACTTGAGTGAACTGGTCATACTATAAGTCGAATTCGTAATTTGCCGATTAATTCTCAATTCACACAGTTCGAGGGGAAATTTAAGAAGTTTTTCTTGATCGGTACTTATGTTATCAAGCAGATTACATGTTGTAGTGGTGAAGCTTCACCTCAATGGCGAATTAATTTGCAAAATGAGAATTCTATTTAAGGGAGAATGTTTTTTTGTTTCCTGTGAAACTACTCGTGATAAAGCCTACATACTTGAGTACTTGAATTTTAGACAGCCGGTTACGGATGGGAATTCTGCTCTAGATACTTCACTCTATTAAACTGAGTAGTATTATTACAGAATAAGCCTGTTCCAGGTAACTGAATTCTAGTGAACTTGATGGAGGTCCATCCACGCATTATTGTTTCTACTCTATCTACAGTTTCCGGTAGCAATCTAATAGCTGGATAATATATATGACCCAGGGTTTCTTCTAACTGATTGGTTTCAGCACTAGAAAGATCGATGATGTTCACCGATAACTGGTATGGGACCGACTACACTGCCTCCACACTTAGAAGACAAGGTATTACAGAGAAAGGAAGATTTATTCTTGCTGAAAAAGGTGAGCAATTAAAAAAATTGAATCCATTTACGTATTCACGTCACACGATCAATAGCAAGTTTAGCGTATAAAATTTGTGGCGTACCTGGCTAGTAACGTACCGATAAAAATTCAGTCGTACTGTGGCGAGTGCTACTAATAAGACTTATCAGTAGTATATAAAGAGACGTTCATCGACATAAAAACACCAAATAGCAGGGAGATACATTTAATGCCAGAGAAGGCAAATGGTACAGCGTTGTGGAGATACTTGGGAAACGTGAAAGGAAAACAAAGGATCACATTATGTAGGCCAGAAGTAGCACAACACGGAAGTTCTGTGCAAATGGTGCGTTGAAGGTAAGGTGTCTTTTGTCTTCTACCGTCACTACACAACTTCTGATGAAGGTCAGACGTGAATGTTCAGGACACAACTAACACAGAATCTTATAATTTATTCATTGGTTATAGGATTTCATCATGAACTGCCATCGGTTAGAGAACCATTGGAAAACCTACATGGAGTACTCGACAGCTGTTTCCTCCGCCCTATTTTGGGACTCTTCATCAGTACACACCCACCACCAGAGTTCAAACCCAGGACCTTCCGGTTACAAGAGGAGCTATCTCGTAGACCATTAAGCAGCCACTGGGACCCGATCCAATGGCCAGTCCAGTCCATGAATTCCAACTTCTGCCAATTGTTCCTTATGCTGATCTCAGCAAATTTTCACATTTATTTGATATTTATAAAGGTCTGTCTTGCCTTTCCGATTGTGCATTTAAAATCCGCGTCCGTACAGTTTGTAGTTGAAAAGATGCTGCTCAGAATATATTGTCTCCGGTCCCTCCTGATGAGTAATATGAATAAATTACTAGCTGTTGTCATTAACATACGGTTTGGCTTTCTTGATTTAATAGCTTGATGAATGTTGGTTTGGCATTTGGAATATGGAGTTTGAGTTTCAGTGGGAACATGAGTATGCACTTACGAATCACACATACTTTTACGCAACACTAAACAACTATGTTTACAATAATTAAAAAATTCCAATAATGATAATTATAGAACACGATTGAAGCAGGCAAATACGTATTTTCGGTAAATTCTTATCAGGTTTCACATTTACAGCATAATGAAATATTAGTGGTCATAGGCATTTGAATTAATGTGGTTAATCGAATATGTAGGATCAGAGTTCAGGGATGTGAATTAGTGGATAACAATCTGGGTGATCATAATAATGGTATCAGTAACAAGGATAAATTCATTCAAGTGTTTATATAATCTAGGCAACGGTGAGTGGATAGGTAGAACGTGCAAACTAGTAGGAGTGGAGGGGCAAATAACTATTGTCATATAGTAATTAGATGATATAATAATAATAATGATAAGTTGTGAAACCGAGATTAAAATGTACAACTACAGAACAGCATGATATTGATAATACAGTTAGCATTACAATTAAAATGAGATAAAAGCATTATTATTATTATTGTTGTTCCCTTGGGTTCCTAGTGGAACATAGGGCTTCAACTACACGTCTCCACTTGCTTCTGTCTTCTGCTGTACTTTTCACTTGCATCCATGTTAGTCCATACTGTTTCAACTCCTTTTCACACGATCTCCTCCATGTCACCCTTGGACGTTCCACTCGCCGCTTCTCTTTCGGGTTGAAAAAGGTCTGCAAAAGGCTGTTGGAAATATTCTTTGTGACACACTGGCCAAGTTTCTGATCCATCCGTATAGAAGAACTGACTGACTTGACGTTTGTATTGAAAATCCGAATCACTTTGTTGTTGATGCTGAGTTGAGTGACGAAGATTTCCAGATTGGTTTCAGGTTGATGAATGTGTTTCTCGCCTTCCCGATTCTCGATTTGACATCCTCGTCCGTTCCTCGTGTAGTTGAGACAATGCTCCCTAGATAAGTGAATGAAGTAACCTCTTTCAAATCCCTCCCGTTGATGGTGATTGGCGCTGGATGTTGCTGCTGTTGTTGAACCTAGCGTAGATTTCTAGCTCGCTAGTTTTCTAGCCGGTCCCAAGCCCGGATAA